GGTCATCAAAATCTTGATAAAGAAATACTCTCCCTGTGGAAAATTGACACTGCTGACCAACAAAAACTTCAGACCGCAAACACTCTAAACTTAATACAACCAAGTAATCGGAATAGAGGAGCTTTTTCAATGCCAGACAGACATTTGGGTCTTTCTCCAGCTGGGTTAGAGATTAGTTTTCTTAGATAAGAAACTTCATAGAAGGTCACCTGTGAACTGTTGGCAGCAGAAACCAAAACACGTGTCTAGGGAGACTAAGAAAAAAAGGTTAAAAAAAAAGTCCCTATCATGTGATTTACCAAAGAACAAAATACTCCAAGGCGTCCTTCAATTAGGAGGGGTTCATTTTAAGGAGCCAAACATAAACACAGCAGATTTTTATTCCCATTGAAATAGTGCAATACTTTCTACTCTGCTGCTTTATATCCCATTTATTGAAATTGGATGTCATTAGACCAAAAATGCTTCTAAAACATTATTCAAATGGAAGACAGACTAACAGAACACCTACAGAGGAAAGGCACTTGAAATCAGACGGACGGACTAAAAACTAAAAAAACTGATTAATCCCTACAATTGATTTTTTTTAGTAAAGAAAAATACAGATAATTCAGCCATTTAGTTCCACACTCCACAATAGGTTGCATTAATGCACCATAAGTTGTTTGCCATGTAGCAGAAAAAAACTAAGAAAAAACACGAAGAAGGAGAAAATAGCGGCAGCCCAAAGACACACAGAGACTGGAGGAGCAGAATGAAAGAGAATGAGACTGTATATCGAAAATGCTATTATTTTATTTGAGACAACACTATGAGTTAGAAATTATTTTCATGATTACGTTTTTCAATCTAGGGCGGGATTAGCTGCAGATTTGCATATGCACATTTAATTTGCCAGTTGGATCCACAATGGAAAGGTTTACTCAGGTAGCTTAGTCCTTTTCTGTGCTTCAACACACCTGATCCAGGTGAATGCAGTTCAGCAAAGCCTGTTCATCTGCTATCAGGGACGTGTGTGAAAGCTGAGAAACATGTAGAACATGCAGAGCAGCATGGTGTGAGGAACAGGCTTGAAAAACAAACCGTTGAAGAGCCCAGCACCTGTCTTAGTTTTCTTTTTACTCATACAGACTTAAAGTAGATGTTTTTTTTGCAAGACTCTCCAACAAAATTTTTTGTTACCCTCACTTCTTTTCAGATGCTTTGAAGATACACAATCTATTATACATAGATGGATACGCTATTCAGCATGTAGCTGCACGCATGGAAGCTTTGTGCCATAATAAAAGGCCAGGAGAGGAGTGTGCAGCTACTGTCAGGATGTTTGACCCAATCATGTGGAAAGTTGAAGGAATCTGCTAATAGCTGCCTCATATATCTCCATATTGGACTAAAGTTCTTATAACTATGAAACCCACAGCTGAGGTCAACATCTGAGAAGATTGCTAAATCTTTAAGCAATGTTCTTGTTTGCAGCTGCCTGGATTAAGACAAGGGCATTGCTGGCAGTGTACTCACCAGCTTCAGAACCAGACATTTTAAAAAGACTTTCTTGGAGTGGTTGCCACCACTGCTTTCCGTAGAATGTATTTAGCCCTGGAACCCCCACCTAATGCCAGGCATCGAGCTGAGGAGGTGATGATTAGGACCTGCGTACCACTAATGCCAATCAGGCATGTTAGAGTCAAACATGAGGCCGGATGTCTAATACAGGGATGGAGGGCTCATTGGAGGGACGCTGTGTCACTGAGCACTGTCAGCCAGCTGGCTGAAAGAAGACTGCTAAACTTTTCCCTTGGTTATAACAGGGAAAATTTGGCTGTCCATTTTGAAATATTTCAGGTGTTTGTATAATTCTACTGTCATTGCTATAAAATAAATAAATAAATAAATAAATAATGAGATCTAAACAAAGGAAGCCTCGGAAAAAGGTTTTTCTTTTCTGAAAGAACCTTTTGAGGTTAAAGCTTAAAGTTCAGCTCACACAGTTGAAAATAAACTAGCTCACAATCATAGTTCAATTTTTCAAAAATGAACTAGTTCAAGTTCATTTGGTAAATGAAGCCACAATCCTCCACATTAGAACCTCATATTTCCCCCTTTAAATGTGTGATCATAATATATAGAAAGAAATGGAAAATACTGGATGCAGTGAATGTATACTGGACGTACAGTGAAGCCTAAACTTAGCAAAATTACACAGAACTTCAAGAACATTCAGGTACTGCTGAAAAGATCTGGATCAAAAAGGATTTCTACCATTCCTCATTCAGTAGCAGATATTTATGGGAGCAATATTGTTGCAATATTATTTGCAAATGAGTGCGGAGAGTTGTGTGTCTTTATCTAGATTGGGGGGGGGAATGGGATTAGAAAATATGTGAGGAGAATTGTCTGCAAATGTGTAAAATAACGTGTGTAATTGATTTGCAAATGTGTAAAAAATTCACAAATCTGTATTCAGATCTACAAATGTGTGTTAAGATTTGTAAATGTGCACCAAGATCTACAAATGTGTAGATCAGTCTGTAAACAGAGTCAAGCAGTTATTCAGTTGGCTCTCTTTACACACCTGATTTTTGTTACATTTCTGCCATGTGAGATCTGCAAATGTATATAGGGGATTCGAATGTGTAATATCTTGATTTGCTGCCCTGCAAATGCCTGCTCACAAGCTTATGCCATAAGCCTTATGGCAACCGTTTGTCATAAAATCAGCTTTTCTTACCATCTTACTTCTTAGATAGCAAAATACTACTACTAAGATAGAAGATAAAGTTTTGACCTGGAAAAACTAAATACTGACTATCCTGAATGTTACCTTAAGATCTCTGAATGAGACAACTGAAAATAACAATTCAGATATCAGTCAATCTTATTTTGCAGAGTCAAAATGCCTTTTGAGATATCTCAAATCGCATTGCCTGATTCATCATTTAAAGTTTCACACATCTGGAATTATAATCAAGATATCTCAATATTATTTTGGACAGGTCCCTGCAGTATTTAGCGCGGCTGCAATGGTGCTGGCTTTTTTTGAAAAATTTGTTTCAAAATGCCACAATATAGAAAGAACTCCGCAGTATGGGATGTGCAGAGAACAAGAACTTTGTGAACTCAAAGGCCTCTTTTAGAAATATGTAGTGGATTGCTGCAGGGAAGTTTGTTCGAAGCTGGATTATTAAAGCTCCGCTGAGTGTATATAAATATATAAATGTGTATACAAAATGACAAAGTTGTCTAAGTCTAGGTCTAAATTGTACATTATCTCAGCTTGTTTTCACAACTTTTGTGAGACACTATTTTATAAAGTAGGTATTCATTCATAAAAAAACTGATTTGAATTCTATAAATTAAAGTTTTCCGGCCAACAGCAATGATGAACTGCATGGCAGAATTCTATACCCAGTTATTGTAGTATCTAAGCAAGAACTGTCAGTCTGGTTATTCTAAATTGTAAATGTTGGCTGTTTTATGAAGTGTAACTTAAAACTGACCTTTTTGAGTTTTAGTCGACTACAACTGGACTAAAACTATCACATACAGTAATGACTTAAACTAATAATAGTTCTCGACCTGAAGATGAAAACTAAATCTAAGATGGCTGTCAAAAACAGCGCTGTTGCCAGGTTACAAAACTGATTAAGGATGAGAGGGGAGAACTACTCTGAGTAACCTCAGAGCACTGTTTTAGGTTCTTTTATTGATTGATTGACTTAATTGATCTCACAGTGGAGAAATTATCTCTAAAGGAATGTGTGGAATTTTAAATATGACTTCAATGATTTATCTGATGACCTCATTTTGGTCTGTCAGATCAACCTTTAAGTTAGAGGTTGCGACAAACTTTCTATAATGTTACTGTTGACTTTAAAACCATAAAGTAATATCGACATCACGTGGCATGTGTGTGTGCTCAATCTTTATTATTTACTTAAAAAATCAGAGGCGTAGCCAGAAAATTTTTATAAAGGTGGCTGGAAAATGAACGGGCAAAGCATCTATATTTTCTAAATAAAGACAAACTATACTTTCCTACAGCTTTTGCTGACAAATACATGCATATATTTAAACATCCGTAATTTCTAGATAAAAGGTAAAGTGGATAAAATTCTTTCAGGTTTGAGTTCTGGGCCGAACATCTTTTCCATTGTCATTACTTAGCTACTTTTATCAATAATCATCCTGCATAAAATTTCTATTTACAAGTACTAATATCTACATAAATTGATTATTTAATATGCTTTTATTAAAATAGTAATCTATGATTTCACTAAAGACTCCTAGATGAATGCAGAGACACATAATTTTCTCTTTACCCTATAAAACACAAAATCTAGTTCTGAAAAGAGCAGGAATTCTGTACTTACCATCTTTAATGTTAGTATATTGATGTGCATAATTAACCAGAGTGTTTTTGTTATCAAGTAATGATAAATATATGAAAAAAATTATAAGTAATACATGAAAAATTAAAATGTTTTGAATATTCCACTTTATTAGGGGGGGAAATGGTATTGGTGGCCAGAGGGGTAACCAATGATTGGCTAAGGGTAACCCCTGGCCTCCCATCTAGCTCCGCCCCTGTAAAATAGAAACCTGTGTGAAAATGTCTTCACACAGATTTTATGAGAATTATAAAACCAGGGAATATTATATAAATAAATAGATGAGAATAGATAAATAGGAGTTAAAACTGCATAGCAAGTGTCTAAATATCATAGTTTCAACTTAGACCACTATGTTCTATTCTGGCGAAATACCTGGAGCTCAAGAACAGACTGAAGATAAAGGAGGAGCTGATCTACTCAGCTGGGGAAGAAGTCAAAGGTCGGTGAAAATCTCTGCAATCAACACCCCTTTAAACCTGGCATATCATTCTACGAACGGATGTTCGGACATTAAAACATAAACAAACCTAATAAAAGAAGCATAAAAACTGCTTTGACACAAAAAAGGGAAAAACCTGAAGCCAGGTCCACAAAGTTTGTCAAACTCACCAGAAAACACGAATCCTCCCAGAAAGACAAGGAGCCAAAAACGATCCATGTGTTAAAGCATTTATATTTGGATCCTGCGGTTAAAATCCTTTAGGAATGAATAAAAACAACCTGTCCGAGAAATTCAGTTTCAGAAGGAAAAAAGAAAAACCCTGCGCTCTGTGGACACACCTGAGGGGGCGGAGCTTGAACCCCTGTTGCGTAAAATGTTGACTCACCGGATAACCGCCACTCTGCATTCCAGAGTTGAAAATATGTAAAAGATTAACAGAGGTTTTATCTATATACACAGCAGAAATGGTAGCGATTCTTATTAGTTTACAGTGGGTGGAGGAGGATAGACCGGACAGGGTGGAGATTTGCACAGATTCTAAACAGGGGCGTCAGCTGACCCAATACTGTACAGGGGCACAATAGGGTACCAAAGAAAATGCGGGCGCGCTAAGCACGCGCGCACGCAAAATAATAATAATAATAATAATAATAATAATAATTAAAAAAAAGCATGGGCACAGACGTCAGGGTAAAAAAAAAAAGCCTGTGGAAATCTGTGTGGGCACTGATTGATAAACTGAGCACGGTTTTCCAATATGTGAGATTTAGAAACTGTGCTCTGGTTCATTAACCCGTGCCCGTGGGTTGAGAAACTGTTAATAAGATTATATAGGGTTCAAAAATCTGTACTTGTTAAAAAGTTATGAAGAAAGAAGCATAAGGGAAGAGATAATTTATACTAGATTAAGAACTGGACATACCTACTTGAATTAATTTTTGTTTGTACTAGAGAAGAGAAATAATGATATATGCGAGGGTTGTGAAAGAAAAGAAAATGTGGATCATGTTTTGATGGATTGCATTAAATATGCAACTGAAAAACTGAAAAATAATTATGGAAAAAGGGAGAAATGGAGTATTAAAGGAATTTTAGGGACAGATGGAGATTGGGAGGTTAATTCAGTTATCAATAAAGCATTGTTTTTATTTTTGCATAACACAAAAATAAAAAATAGAATATAGTAAGTGGAACTATAGAGCTACACACTCATGTACAGTAGGTGGCGGTATGCACCTATAAACTGTTTGCAATCAGCCAAAGATTAGGACAATGGTTTAATGAGAAACTAAAATGGAATAATGGCTAAATAAGACATTATCCAACATCAGGCATTGAGATTATGTAGTTGAGCATTTAAAACCACATCAACAGCAGCAATGCCAGTAGAAATGGGAGAAATGCCGCTGGATTTAAGGAGAGCAAAACTAGAAAAAATAAATTATTGGTTAAATCTACAAGGTAATAACTCTGATTATCCAACTCGGAAAATTTTAAATCCATTTTGGGAAAAAGAAAAGAAAGAAATTAGGAGTTTTGGATGAAAAATTGAAAACAAAATAAAAGAATTTAAAATGACCAATTTAGAAATCACTCAGACAACACCAACATTAGTTATACCACCATGAATTCTACCAGAAGTAATAGTAGATATGTCACTTATGGAAAAGAAACATTAATAAATCGATACTATTGTAATACCAAAATTCAATATAAAAATAGGAAAACAAATTTCAGATGGATTATCAGTATATGCAGGGGAAATTTTGGCAATATTATTAGCTTTACAATGGGGAAGATATAAAACCATAAAAAATAGTAATTTGTTCAGATTCAAGCTCTGCATTAATACGTTCAAAATATAATAAGCCAGATAGTAGGATGGACATTCTATTAGAAATATTTAATGCATTATTCAGAATTTAAAAAAATGGGTTTGATTGTATTATTTGTGTGGGTCCAGCAAATATTGGAGTAGAAGGAAATGAGCAGGGTAAAATGGAAATGAGGGCGATTCAAAATCCTATTAGTTCGGAGGGAAAGAGTATTATTAAAGAAAAATCGATGAAAATGGGCAAAAGAGGTGGGATGAAGGAAACACAGGAAGATGGTTTTACAAAATTCAGAAGATAATAGGAAAAAGAAGAAATGAAAAGGAGGAGAGAGTGATAACAAGGTTATGATTTGGGCATAGAGGACTTAATTATACACTTTTAAAAATTTAAAAGCGTACTACTGGCAAATGTGTTACTGTGGAAAATATGAAACAATACAACATGTTATACTGGAATGTTATAAATATAAAAGCGAAAGAAGATATAGGAGGAGAGAGTTTAAAAGTATTATGGAAAAGATTAATTTATTTGATATTTTGAGGAAGAATTTGGGGAGTAAACATATATAAATAGTTATTCAATTTTTAAAGAAAACAAAATTATTTAATAGAATTTGATTATAGAGAGGGTGAATGTGTGCATTATATAGACGGGTAGAAACAAAGGTTATGTACAAGTATGTATAAGTATGTATAATATTATGTATAAGTATATGTATGTATAAGGTTATGTATATATATATATATATATATATATATATA